AGAATGAAGGCAGCATAGTGGAGTGGACTTGGGGGGAGGGATTGTATAACAATGAAAGAATTTTTCTCTTCGTTTTCAAAAAGAAGAGCAAACTGGGGGGGCGGGCAGGGAGAAAAGTGCAACAATGAATGAATGAATGGAAACCCAAAGTCTCTGTAAACTTTCATTAAAATTAATAAAAATTTTAAAAAAGAGAGAATGAATGTTGTTCCTCTTTAAACCTCTTCTTCCCAAGTTGTTCCAGTTGTGGGCCACAGAGTAGGACCAACCCACAGCTGACCCTCCAGTGGGTTTTCAGAGGAACTTTATTGCACAGGAGGAGACTGTCCATCCGTCTGCAGAGCAGCTGGTGGATTTCAATCGCATGCTGTTGGAACTCTAACACAACACTTGGCCACCAGAACTCCTCCTTCAATGGAGGAACTTGTTACGCTATACACCACTGAGTTGGAACTGCCTCACAGCTGACCCTCCAGTGGGTTTTCAGAGGAACTTAACTGCACGGGAGGAGACTTCCCATCCTTCTCCCATGGAGCAGCTGGTGGATTCAAACTGCCTACTTTGGGGACTGCTCAGCTTCTTACCACTAGGCCACCAAAGTTCCTCCTTGTCCAGAGGAATGAAACACAGTATTATTGAACAAGGGTGGTTAGCTTGTTTTAAAATAAAAAAACCAAAAACCACTACTGTAGGGTCCATTCCGACTCAGCGAGACCTTGCAGGTCAGCCACTCGGGGTTTCCAAAGATGTGAATCTTCACAGGGGCAGATGTCTTTATCTTCCTCATGGAGGGCGCCTAGTGGGCTCCAACCACCAACCTGCAGGACAACAGCTGGGCACTTTAACAACTGTGCCACCAGGGCATCTTTTGGAAACACTGGAGACCTGCCTTTGCCTCGAGGTCGCCGGTTCTGAGCCAAATCTAAGGGAATCATGCCAAAGTTGCTGATAGCTGGTGAATAATTGTACAGAACGGGCAGCTGGCCTCGGGCTGGCCCCCAGGAGGCCAATATCTAGGCCATTTTCTTGGCAGTTTGAGTAAAACAGCGAAGCCCAGGACCGCCAAGGAGGGAGGGAACTGAAGCTACAAGGCACATCTCTCCAATGCCACCGAAGAGATGGGTGTGCGAGGCTGCCTACTCAGAGAAATCGCTTCTGATCAGTTACCAAAATCCATTTCCATCCTGTTTGGGATATTGCTATTCCTATATATCTTCCCCGTTGTCTGACAGCATCATATTTTCTGGATGATTCAACAGCGAGAACAGCAGCTGGGGACCAGAGCAGCCTATTCTTAAACTGAAGAGAAGAAACATTACTTTGCCACACACACGTCACCATCTCTCGTAGAGAGCTGGGGTCCTTCCACGTGAGTCTTGTTGGATTGGGGAGGGTGGGGGGAGGTCTGTGCAGGCTGCAGCTGCCCCACCACAGCTTGGAAAGAAACTGAACTCTGAAGACAGGGTAATTCATGAGCAGGACTGAAATATGCAATTTACTTTTGCTGATGGCAAATGTCCCACTGGAATCTCTTATCCAAAAGGGGAACATATGCAACCAACTCTAGTGCCACCCTGTTAAACACAAGTTTTATAGCAAAAAATAAAATAAATTGTAAGAGCTAGGTCCAAGGTAGCACGGCTAGATCAACGCTGGTGGTGTAGCAGATTAAGTGTTGGGTTACCAACCTCACAGTTAGTAGTTCAAGCCCACCAGTTGTGAAGGAGAAAGATGTGGGACCCTCTGCTCAGATCTGCAGCCTTGAAAATGCTACAAGGCAATTCTATTCTGTCTATAGGGTCACTAAGAGCTGTGTTTGGCTTTTGGTTTACCCTCCAAATAGAACCATGAGAGACAAAGACAGGACCAACTTTTAATCTTATTGTTATGTGCTGTCAAGTCTCCTGTGACCTTAAATACAATCGCTCTGAATCCTGTCTTGTCCCGAGCCAGTTTCACTGACTCCAATACACCTACTCCCATTACCTTACTCTATCAATCCATCTCATTTGGGATCTTCCTCTCCTGCACTGTCCCTCCATCCTTCCCAGCATAATGTCCTTCTCCAAGGATCAGTCTCTCCTGGCCACATGCCCAAAGTATGTGAGATGGAGCTTCGATATCCTAGCCTCCAAGGAGAGACTTGGTTTTACCCTCTCCCAGACAAATTTATTTGTTTTCTTGGCAGTCTATGGTATGTTCAAGACTCTTCTCCAGCACCACAGCTCAAAGGCATCAATTATTTTTCTATCATCCTTAGTCATTATCCAGCTCTCTGATGCATAGCAAGTAATTACAAAGACCACAAACTGGATCAGGCACACCTTAGTCTCTAGACTGACATCGTTGCTTCTCAGTACTCTGGAGAGGTCCCTGACAGCAGATTTACCAAACACAATTTGTCTTTTGATTTCCTGACTGCTGGTGCCAAAAATTCAGTAACCTTGTGGCCTCATGAGTAAGGAGTTGTGCTTGTTAACCCAAAGGCAGGCAGTTCAAATTTGCCAGCTTCTCCATGGAAGAAAGATGAGCAATCTCCTCCTGTGTGATTTACAGCCCTTGAAAATCCCCTGGTGGGTCCACTAAGAATTGGTTCCAACTCGAGAGCCCTTAACAATAATAAGAACAACAAAATATATGTCAAAGAATGTTCAGGCACATTGGTGGTTGTTGTGTGTCTTCACATTGCCTGTGACTCATAGAGGCCCTAAGTACTCTAGCTCTGGGCCTTGCTCTATCCTGAGCCAATCTCAGAGTCTCTGACATTTCTCCAGTCACTGTGTCAGTCAATCCATCTCATCTGGGGTCTTCCTCACCTGCACTGTCCCTCCACCCTTCCAAGCATGATGTCCTTCTCCAAGAACTGGTCCCTCCTCGCCATGTGCCCAAAGTATGTGAGGCACACTGGTGCAGGCATGAAAATAGTTTATGTAAAGTGATTCCTTCTGTCTTTCGGAATGCGTCAAAATTCCAAGGATTTAAAACATAAAACCGAACCCTAAATAACAAAGCCATTGTTCACCCTTTCCAAAAGCTAATATTCCGATATTAATGGCCCAAGACAGAAACGCACCGGTGGGGAAACATTGGTAATGATTAATTGCTTTTCCAATTCCTTTTTATTTTCTTAGACGGGCCTGGCACTCTTAAGGATGGGAGACTCGGAATCTCGCTTTCATTTGCATTCTTCAGCAGAGTCACATATGGTGGAGGCTCGGAGAAGCAGCTCAGCTCTGGCTGGCTATGGCTGGCCTGGTTAGAGTCCAGGTGGATGAGCACCTCCGCCGGCTCCCACCTGTGGAGAACTCCAGCTTACACTTGTCCCCTTGGAAGTTAGAGCCAAGTCAGGTGTATGGAGTCTATGCTAATCGTGTTAGGAAGAAGCCAAACACACGTTAATGCAAATACTCAGGCTGTAACTGCTCCCAGTGCTCAGTACTTACATGTCTTCTCCCTCTCGCCGCCTTGCCGTACCGTGGCGGCGTACCCAGACACTAGTTCTCGAACCTCAGCACACCTTTCGTAATATAATTCGATTTGTTCAGCAAGTTGCTTCTCAAGGAGGGGGTTAAAAATCTACGAGAGGGAAAGAAAATCGAATGAATAATTGTCACCAAGCCCCCTTCGGTATCTACAGGGATGCATTCAGATGATTTCACACCCCGTTTGTACCATCAGAGGCTTGTTTGCACACAGGGTGTGAGCATGAAATCAAGGATGTGGTGACTCTGACTGCTGCCCTTTCTAGCTTTCTTCTGGGGAATCCTGTCTGCACACCACCACCAGCACTGCTGCAGCCCTGGAGCTCGTCACAAGCACTACTCCAACCATCATCACCCCACGGACCACCACCCTCTCCACCACCACCACTGCTGCCCTGCATCTCACCACCAGCACTATTTCCCTGCATCATCACCCACATACCACCACCACCACCACCTCTATAACACCACCACCACCTCCATAACACCACCACTACCACCACCACCACTTCCATAACACCACCACCACCACCACTGCTGCCCGGCATCTCACCACCAGCACTATTTCCCTGCATCATCACCCAAATACTACCACCACCACCATCACCTCTACCATCACCACCTCCATACCACCACCACCACCACCACCTCCATAACACCACCACCACCTCCATAACACCACCACCACTGCTGCCCTGCATCTCACCACCAGCACTATTTCCCTGCATCATCACCCACATACCACCACCACCACCATTACCTCTACCATCACCACCTCCACCACACCACCACCACCACCTCCATAACACCACCACCACCACCACCTCCATAACACCTCCACCACCACCACTGCTGCCCTGCATCTCACCACCAGCACTACTGCTACCATCATCACCCCACATACCACCACCACCACCACCTTCACCACCACCCTGCATATGACCACCACCACCACCAGCAGCACTGCTGGCCTGCATCTCACCACCAACATTAATTACTCCCACCATCATCACCCTGCATCCTACCACCAGCACCCTGCATACCACCTCCCTCACCACCACCCTGCAGAAAACAACCTTTACTGTCCTGAAGATCACAAACAGCGGTACCACCATCATGACCACCAGCACCTCCCCCACCAGCAACTCCTCCACCAGCACTTCTCCCACCATTAACACCCCAAATAACACCACCACCTGCATACACCAAAACTACCACTATCTTTTTAAAAAAAATATGGAATGCTTCACGAATTTGCATGTCATCCTTGCACAGGGGCCATGCTAACCTTCTCTGTATCGTTCCAATTTCAGTATATGTGCTACCGAAGCGAGCACAACTACCATTATCTTACATATCAACACCGACACCACCATCCTAACCGTCACTGTCCAGCACGTCACCACAGCATCACCTCCATCACTTCCATCGCCACTATCACTCCCACTGCCTCCATCACCACCAGCCTGCACCATTACCACCATTTCTACTGTTGCCTTGTGGACCACAGCCAGCCCACACTATTACCACCATTTCCACCACTCTCTCTACCACTGCCCACACAGCACCATCACTATCACCCACAACACCGCCATTACCACCACTCCAATCACCCTCATCTTCACCACTCCGCCACCCTCACCTCCACCACCCCGCCACCCTCACCTCCACCACCCCGCCACCCTCACCTCCACCACTACCATCCCCATCACCACTCCAGTCTATTCTGCCTCATATTGACCCCGTGTATTTGAGAGTACAACAGGGCTCCACAGTTTTCAATGGTTGTGTTCTTACAGAAGTCTGGCACCAAGACTTCCTTCTGAAAAGCCCCTGGATGGATTCAAACTTCCAACCTTTCAGTTACTAGCTGAGTACTTAACTGTCTGTACCGCCCAAGGCTCCAATCTTGTCTGCAGAGCTTCTGAAGTGTCAGGATTTCCTGAGCGCCAGGCCTCCGTCTCTTCTGTTCCCAGCACTACACTCACCCTAGAAAGTCAGATTCTCTTCCTCTCAATTCCTACTTTGTGACATTAAATCTACCTGGTGTCCTGCTCCCTCAGCAGTCCCCTCCCAAGTCCCTGTGCACAGAGGACTCTTCCAGACCAGGATCCAAGGCTATGCTATGAAGGCAGGTCTCCCTGACAGCCTACCACACGCTGGAGTAACTGTAGACATTCTCAGGAAACATGCCCGGGAAAATGCAGCCTGTTCTCAAACACTGTTCAAGTGCAGTGAAAGCATGGATGGTAGTCTCTGGGGATTTAAGAGCAGAAAGGGAGCTCCTCAAGAACTGGGGCCCACAGTGGTCATCAAGATATAGACAGTGGCCCTTCAGAGGATCATGGCATTGTTTCAGTGGACTGTAACCAGCAGGATGGTCTATGAGTGTGTGTGCATCTGTACACACATAGATACACATACACCCCATCCACCGCTTTCAAGTGAGTTCTTACTCACAGCAGCCTCACAGGACAGGGCAGAACTGGCCCCTGGGGCTTCCCAAGGCCAGAAAGCAAGTCTTTATGAAAGTAGACTGCCTCATCTTTCTCCCACAGTGCAGTATCTCCTGGATTTAAACTGCTAACCTTTCTGTTTGAAGTTCAGTGCTTAACCTACCACTTCAGTGTGGCTCTTTCTATACAGGCATGTGCGCACATGCACACACACACACACACACACGAAGAGGAGTGGAACACAAAAACATCAGAATGTACTAGACAGAGCAAAGCTATGCATTCTTGGTGAAAATCCTGCTTCTGCTTTGTGTTACATATAGTAGAAAGGTCTGTGTCTTACTTCTCTACGAGAAAGTTCTGGTAGTGGAGTTACATTGTCACCCCAACAGCCACGCCTCTCTGCCAGTTCGAATCCACAGCAGGAGAAAAATAGACAATCTCCTTCTGGGTGATTTACAGCCTTCAAAACCAAATGGCGAGTCTGTTCCTACTCAATAGCAATGAGTTAGTTATTTATGTTACTTAGTTATCTATGGATAGTCACTTGTATGAGAAGATATACATCTCTTCTTGTGGACCCCCTTTTAAAAAAACCTGATTGCATTTTCAGCAAACAGCAGAGGTTCGGGCACATAATAAGTGCTTAGTAAGTGATACAATGAAGAAGTGAACGTTGTTTTTCATTTTACACAGAGGCCTCTCCATAAAGGCTCTGAGAGCTCACTCGGGGATCAGGGGCCGTGTTTTCCCCAATTATGACTTATGCACTGTAGCTCTTCCTCTTCCCAGAGCAAACCCACAGGGTCAGAGGAAACAGGAGTATCAGGTGGTGGTCCTGACCTCATTTCCAATCACCACCTGAGTTCTCCATGCTGGGGAAATTCTCACTCCCCACCAGCCCAGCTGAAGGTTGTGTGGGGACAGGCAGAAGATTCCATCCAAGGGTGGGAGTTTGGCTTTTAGGGTCACCCTGGATCAAGACGGTTCTGGACATTGAGTCCTCCCTAGTCACCACACCCCTGAGGAGCCCACCCCGGGATGAGCTGAAAAACTCGTGCTGCTAACAGAGAACAGCAAAGCAAACGCAGGTTTTAATTTGCCGGAGCTTTGCCTCTTCTGATACTTTAAATAAAAGCATATAAAAGAAGCTTTACCAAATAACTACGATTCCCTCTTTTCATTAGCTTAATCACTGGATAGGCAACAGCCTGATAAAAATCTACTCTATAATTAAGCTAGTAGTTATTAAAACAGAGGAAGTAAATGGGTTCCATTTTATGAGTACTAAATGAACCTGACACTAACACAAATCTATTATCGCGTTTGCTGGGAAGATGCCTCAGTATTAATTCTGTTTGATGACAGCCCACGCGCGCTCTGGCTGGAGTGCGTTCTCCTGTTGACTCGGGGTTCTGCGACCTGGACTGCCATGCCCAACACCCTCAGGTGCCCCAAAGCTTCTCTTTAGTCCCCGGGACTCACCTGGGCAGGGTCCAGAGTGCGGAGGCGATAGTACTTCAGAGGCCCAAAGAACCCCTCAATGCCGGCCACGTACCTGCTCCCTCCAACAATAAAGTACCCAGCAGTGTCGTTGTAATGGAAGTCCTCCCGGAAGCTGGAGAAGAACCCCAAGAGTTAGTGACCTGCCCTAGAGGTCCACTGGCCTTTCACCTCCGCGTCTAGCAGCTGAGGCCACAGGGTGGCCAGGCCCACTTGGCTTAGAAACCCAGCTGTGCACTATCAGCTGTGTGGCCTTGAACCAGTTACTTCTCTGAGACTGAACTTTCTCATTTGCAAAACAGCTTGGAGGGAACCCCCCCCCCAAAAAAAACCCCTTTGCAGTTGAATTGTCTCTAACTCCAGGAAAACCCGAGGTGTGTCAGGAGAACTGTGCTCCGTGAGGGCTTCAATGGCTCGATTTTCTTTCCTTAAACCTCGAATCTTTCAGCTAGCGGCCGCGCCTGAATTCTGTTGCTGAAATGTCAATCCTTACTACTCCATTGCCAAGTGGATCAAGTGAAATGCTAGCAGGTGAGACATGAAGAGGAGGCCTGGGTGGTGCAGATGGGGGACATGCTTAGCTACTTATCAAAAGGTTGGAGGTTCATGTCCACTCAGAAGAGCCTTGAAAGAAAGACCTGGTGATCTGCTGCCCAGGGGTCACAACCTTGCAAACTCCCAGGAGACAGTTCTCCCCTGACACCAAGAGGTCACCATGAGACAGAATCTATATGAGAGAAACTGCTTTCAAGGCATGTGAAAGACAGAAACCCCTCAATTATGTGTTGGCTATTGTTATTGTCGTAAGGATGACAGAAGAATTGGCACCTTTGAGCTGTGGTGTTGGAGAAGAGCACTGAACATCCCATGGATGAACAAGTGAACAAACACGTATGTCATGGAGAGGGTGCAGCTGGACCTATCTTTGGAGCCAAAAATGATAAGACTTCACCTCACATACTTGGGCATGTGGCTAGGAAAGGGACATAATGCTTGGAAAAGTAGAGGGGCGACAAAGGAGAGAAGGAAGACCCTCAACCAGGTGGACTGACATAGTGACTGTCACAATGGGCTCAAGTGTGTCAGGAAGTGTGAGGACAGCACAGGATAGAACAGGGTTCAGATCCATTGTTCATAGATTGGGTCGCTATGGGTGGTCTTGACCCAGTGGTACCTAACAACAATGCTATTGTTCATATTACTGTAGTCATCAAGGTTACTTGCAAGAAAATGAACTGTATACATTTACCTATTGTTTTGATTTTTTAAAAAACATTATGCATTGGGAAGTTTGAAAATTAAAAGAGAAGTCGATAGTCATGTGAGAATAAGGCTTCTGTGAATAGGGAAGGAGGGTCAAGACAGGCAAAGAGGGAGGAGCCAGGGCTAACGAGAGTGCAGGGTGCAGAGAGGGCAGATGGGAGCTCAGGAAAGAAAATAAAGCTCCAGGCAGATGGCCAGAGTCCGGAGAGGGAGGGAGGGATGGGCCAGGAGGCGGCCAGCAACCAAGCCAACTACCAGCCTTTGGATCCGAGAATCCTGGCAATGGAGTAGCACTGGAGGAGGGGCGAAGGGTTTCTGTCAGCAGAAAACCTGGCCCCTTGAAGATCCACCCAGCTAAAAAGGAAGCATGAAGAGTGAAGCTACCAGCTGACAGCAAGAACAAACACACACAAGTAAAAAACAATATCCATCAAGATGACATCAACTTATCAACCTGGTGCAGGACAGTTCAGATCTGTTGTTCATAAAGTTGTGATGAGTCCTATGTGACTCAACCACACGTTACGGCCACAACCACCACCACCTAGGGTTTTCAGTGGCCATGAAATGTCCATGCCTTTCATGTAAAATGTTACTGGGTCGATTAGAAGCTACAGCCTTTTGGTGAGCCACCAAACAAATGGACGCCACCAGGGATCAAGAAAGGAGCTTAGCATGGACTTGAGGGGAGGGTTTGCATAACAATGAAAGACTTTTTACTTGTACTTTTCAAAGAGAAAAGCTATTTGAGGGGGAGGGGTGGGCAGGGAGAAAAGTGTAAAAATGAATGAATGGAAATCCAAAGTCAACTTTCATTAAAATAATTTTTTTTAAAAAATGCAACAAGAATGGGAGAAAGACTTCATTTCTTTATCACTATCCTTTTCAGGATCTCAGGCACGGAAAGGACTTCAGAGGATGAAGTTATCGCTCTTTATCTTCAGTTCTTAACTCTAAGAGTTGTGAATTGTGTCTATTTTCTGAGACCTTCAAAAGATGTCTGAACACCCTCCTTCACAATCCATGGCAATAACTCTGTATGATAGTAAATGGCCTTCACTGGCATCACTGGCAACACTTCTGCAGGAGAAGCTTTCTTTACTGACCCCAACATAACCATGTTTACGCCACATCCCCACAACCATACTGCAGACAGTACTGACGGGCGCTCACAGCACACTGGAAGCCTGCTGACTGGAAGCTGCTCTGGAATCTTGTCTTCCTCTTGTCAGCTGTCACTGAATCTGCTCGGATCCATGGCAACTTTATCTGTAACAGAACGAAACACTGCCCACGCTGGGCATCCTCCTATCACGTCAGTCTATTCCATGGAGGCATTCTCTCCTTTTTCACTGACTCTACTTTGTTGTTGGGTGTTGTCTACCTTCCAGCAGGTTTTTCAGAGGTTAATCACACAGGAAGAGATTGCCCATCTTTCTCCCGCAAAGGAGCTGGTGGATTTGAACCCTGTACCTTTGGAATTATATCACAGCTTCTTACTACTAGGCTAAATGGAACTCCCTTTGTTGTTTGTCATTATGTGCCATGGAGTTGCCTGTGACCCACAGCGACCCTACGTACAGGAGCTCTGAAGCCTACCCTGTCCTGGGCCAGTCTCATTGACTCTGACACACCTACACCCCTTGCCCCAGTTACTATATCAATCTTTCTCATCATCCGCGGTCTTCCTCTCCTGTACTGTCCCTCTACCCTTCCAAGAATGATATGCTTCTCCAAGGACTGGTCTCTCCTGGCTATATGCCCAAAATAGAAGAGACGGAGCTTCCAAACTCTAGCCTCCAAGGAGAAACTTGGTTTCACCGTCTCCAAAACAGAACTATTTGTTTTCTTTGCAGTCCGTGCTATGTTCAAGACCGTCCTCCAGCACTCTTTCTCACTCCTGATTTCCTGTTCCTCCGGTTGCTCTGCCCCGATGATGTGCCCAAAGTAAACAAACTGAGCACTTTTAATTTATAAAACAAACAAGAAAAGGCCCCAAACTCATTGCCAATGACTGCGAATGACTCAGAGCTGATCTTTTAAGTGGGTTTTCCATGTCTAAACTGCAAGAGCTGCCCTTGGAGCCACCAGTGGATTTGAACCACCATAACAGCACAAATGCCCTCAGGACCAAGCTACCAGAGTTCCATTCTGAAAAGGCAGGTAATCACATGATTCAGGCCACTGTCTTATCCATTACTTGTTATGCTGTTGAGAGCTGACAAAAGAAGAATTGATGTCTTTGAGCTGTGATGTTGGAGAAGGGTACTTAATATTCCATGAACTGTCAAAGAACAAAGAGATACGTTTGGAGAAGGTGCAGCCCAAGTGCTTCTTGGAGGCAAGGATGACATGCTTTGAGCATGTTGCTAAGAGAGGCTAATCCTTGGAGAAGGACGTCATGCTTGAAAAGGTGAAGGGTCACCAAAAGAGAGGAAGACCCTCCATGAGATGGACTGACCCAGTGACTGCAGCAAGGGGCACAAGTGTGTCGGAGATGATAAGGATGGCAATGCATAGGACACGGTCAGCTTTGCTGTGACTTATCCTCAACTTGAAGGCACATGACAAGTGACTTTTCAAAATACGGCATTAAAAATCTTCCTTGTAATAAACATTAAGTTCTGGGAGAATCTCCACCCTTCATTTTTACAGCCTCCTCTCAGTTCTGAATCATTCTGTGACTGCCTGTGACTCACTCATGTCAGCCTCTAGATTTTAGAGGACAAAGGGACATCACAAATGAAAGATGGAAAGGTCACATGAGAGCCAAATGGTTGCCAAAGGAAATGTCCACAGGCTAGGAACGGAGGTTGGGAAAGAAAGAAGTCATCATTTTACCCTTCTTGTCCAGAAATGTTGTTACGTGTTGTCGAGTCCGGTGCAACTCATAGTGCCCCTATGAACAAAAGATCTGAACCCTGTTCTATAACTATCGTCATATCTCTAATGTTCATAGTTTCCAAAGGCCTGTTGTTTAGGAAGTGGATGCCAATCCTGCTCCCAAGCCTGTCTTAATCTGGGAGTTCTACCAAACCCTGTCCACCATGGGTAACCATGATGGCATTTGACACACCAGTGGCACCACATTCACTATCACAGCAACCCCAAGTTATCTCAGTACAGCAAACTGATAGACCAGTGCTGCATGACTTAGAAGAATGTTCTTGCTAAGCACAATTAATACCATGCTTGAGGGCTGCAGTCAACTTTTTTTTTTTAAAATCAATTTTTTTTTTTCAGTGAACATCTACAGAGATTTTGGAATTCCATTCATTCATTGTTGCACTTTTCTCCCCACCACCCCCACTCCCTGTTCCCTCCTCTTCTTAAAAAGCAAAAGAAAAACTCCTTCTTTGGTACTCAATCCCCCCCTGAACACCCCCTTCCACCCCCACCCCAAATATAAACCACTCTGCAACCCTCATTCCGTACTCAACTTTTAAACACAAAGGTCCACCCACCAGGTCCTGACTGATTTAAACAAGAGGCTTCCAGCCCACAGCTGATTGTTAGCAAATCCAAGAGATCAAACCGCTCACACACAATTATGAATGAAATAAAAGGACCAAACAGTTTACATGTGACTTCCAACTAAATCAAAAGAACCTACCCTCCAGAATCCAACTGCTTCACACAAGAGCCTCCAAAGGTTGTTAGGTGTTGTAAAGACTACTACAATTCCTATTCTTACGATTCATAAGAGCAGCTTTGCCCTAACCTGCCCCATCGTCATGATCTCAACCAGGCTCAAGGCCACTGATTGCTGTAATCAGTGTATCAATTCCTCTTCCTCTCTTTCACTAACTTTCCACTTTTCCCAGCAAGATGTCTTTTTTCCAAGGACTAGCCCTTCTTGGGAACTCTGGTGGCTTCATAGCAAAGAGTTGTGCTGCCAACCCAAAAGCACACAGTTCATATCTACCAGCTGCTCTGCACGTGAAAGATAACCAATCTCCTCCTGTGTGATGAGAGTCAGCTCCAAGCTGCTTCCAACTCGATGATACATAATAACAACAGCCTCAACAGGCTCAAAGTATGTGAGAGAGTCTCACCCATCCTTTCTTCTAAGCAGCACTCTCATGGCATTTCCTCCAGTATAGAGTGTTTATTCATTTAGCAGTCCATGGGTACTCAATACACTTCACCAACACCGCAGTTCAGAGGCATCAACCCTAAATTCCTGAGGTGCACACCACAGAACAGGGCACCAAAGAGATTTTCGAAGGAGCCACTGGCATCTTTTTTTACTTTTTCCTATTCATGAGCTCTTCAGAGAAGATTCCACGGCCACTGACTAAATGATACCCTCATCTCTGTTGATTCCCGTCTGACTAGGCTAAATCCACCAGGGCACACACTAAGACTCCTGCTCTGTGCGTAGGTCTTGGTCTCTCTGCTATAATACAGCTATTTAGTAACCTCCTGACTTTCTCTGCAGGCGAGGTCATAATACTCTTTCGATAGGACTCTAATCCTTTAATCTAGCCATGAAAATAAGAATTGTTCCAGGTGTTCTGAGCCTAAAAGAAACCGGCTGGATGTAAATGTGAATAGGAAATGTGAAAATAAAAAAGAGAGTGCACGTTCTTCTGCTTTCCTGTCTCTCCTCTTTTTTACTTCTCTTTTAATACGTGGGTTTCAAAAGAACCTTGTATTTCTGAAAATTAGTACACTCTGAGTAGATCAAGTCTGTCTGAAGAAACAGACATATCCTCTGGTGCAATGAAATTACCAAAGGCGGGAACAGCGCATTTCCCCAGCCAGTACTGACAGTCCTGGCAGCCTTCAACATGGATTGAAGCTCAACGTCAAGAAAACGAAGATTCTCACCACTGGGCCGAATGGCAGCATCATGATGGATGATGAAGAGATTGAGATTGTTGACAGCTTCAGTTTGCTTGGCTCTACAATCAACATTCTTGGTACCAGCAGCCAGGAAATTAAAAGGCAAATTGCATTGGGAAAGTCTGCTGCCAGAGACCACTCCCAAGTACTGAAGAACAACGATGTCAGTCTGAAGAGTAAGCTGCACCTAATACAGGTCATGGTCTTTGCAATTTCTTGCTATGCATCAGAGAGCTGGACAATAACTAGGGATGATAGAAAGAGAGTTGATGCCTTTGAGCTGTGGTGTTGAAGAAGAGTACTGAATATACCATGGAATGCTAGGAGAATAAACAAATTTGTCCTGGAGAAGGTGAAGCCAGGCTGCTCCTTGGATGCAAGGATTCTGAAGCTCCATCTGACATATTTTGGACATGCTGCAAGGCAGGCTCAGAGCCTTTGGAGACAGACATCATGCTTAGGAGGGTAGAGGGACAGCACAGGAGAGGAATACCCTCGATGAGACGGATTGATTCAGTCAACTGGGGTAATGGGGATAGGCATGCTGGAGTCAGTAAGATTTGCAAGGGATAGAGCAGGGTTTAGGGCTGTTGTACATAGGGTCACTATGTGTCGCAAGTGATTCGATGGCACATAACAACCACAACGATATATATACACAAAGCTGATAATTTTTGTTTCTGTTCTTTAGACTTCTTAAACATTTCTATCTCTGTGTGTGTCTCTCTATATATGTATAGATACATATAAATACACATGTACATGTACATATACATATACACACATCCACTTTCTAAATAACACACCTCTGGAAACTCTATGAACTTTGATAAATATAAATGGTTGTAGAGGGGCTTCAGGCCATTTGTTCATAGGGTCACTATGAGTTGTGCTCTACTTGAAGGCAATCAACAACAACACACACACACATATATATATTCATTTGTTGTTGTTGTTGTTATTGTTATGTGCCATCAAGTTGCCTGCTACTCATAGCGACCCTACATACAGTAGCTCTGAAGCCTGCCTCATCCTGAACCAGTCTCACTGACTCTGACACACCTACTACCCCCAATGCCCTAGTTATTGTATCAGTTCATCTCTTCTGGTGTCTTTATCTCTTGTGCTGTGCTTCCACCCTTTCAAAGCATGATGCCCAAAGTATGTGAGACAGAGCTTCAAAATCCTAGCCTCCAAGGAGAAATTTGGCTTCACCTGCCTCAAAACAGACCTATTTGTTTTGTTGGCAGTCCATGGTATATCCAAGATGCTTCTCTAGCACAACTCAAAGGCATCGACTCTTCTTCTATCATCTTTAGTCATTCTCCAGCTCTCTGATCCATGCCAAGTATAAATATATATGTGTGTATGTGTGTATGTGTGTGTATACACACACACACAGACACACAGTCGGGTGGGGTTTGTGTTTTGTTGTTTGTTTTTTTTTAGTTGTAAGGAGGTATTCTGAGTCTCTAGAGGAAGCTGTCCCATGGTTCTGGCATTCGAAAACCCAACATGATCCATGGATATATAAGGAAATTTCTTTAAACTATGAAATACAGGGTGAGAGACCCAATTCTCCATTTCTGCAACTCTTGGGGAGAATGGTTATATAAAGATGAAAAGTTACACCAATAGCAATAGTGGCATAGATTTCAAATTTAGATTATAAACATAAATATGAAGACTGTCTGCTTTTATGTTTTATTCTGGGCTGAAGTTACCAACCATTCCCAATAAGCAACATTAATACTTTGATTTATTTTTCAGAATCCTTTGCTGAAGATAATTTCCAGAGAAAATGAATTATAAAGTGCCATGAAAAGGAAGAATTTACAATGAGAGCCGGAGAACTTGTGTTTCTGGCTTAGAGAGGAAAAAAAAAGAAAAAAGAAAAGGTGAGGGGTAGGGGGTGGAGGAAGTTCATGGATCGTTAAAAAAAAGTACAAAGACTAGCTACAGGGCAGAGAGGAGACCATGCTCGGAGAAGCTGAATAAGGAGGTGTGGGAATAGCATTAGGGCTGAGCACCAAAGCGTGAAGATCCCTAAGCCATTATCCAGCAAAATTCTGAATAAAGAAAAAAAAGTATACCACTTACCTAATGGTTTGATTATGATAGCTTTTCAAATCCTGCCCGATGCTGGTGGTTACTACTATCTGCGTGGGGAGAGAGAGATACACAAGGATCAGTTATGCCCCAACGCCCACATCATAAATGCAGTTCTTGCTATAAATTACTCAGAAAATATGCTAGCTAGCTTTTCGCCCCATTGGTTTGTGCAAAATAAAATGAACCGTTTACTCGCCCTGTGTCGTAGTTTAAAACTCGAGAAATTTAACTTACTCTACTGACTTGAGGTGGTCAAAAGACCTACAAAATAGTTTCCCCCAGTGAGTTTCAACTCTTCTCAAACTCCAAGACTAAATTTCCTAGGATGTACTGACCAGGTGACTGTTGCAATGGGCTCTTGTGTGTCAGGAAGGGTGAGGATGGCGCAGGACAGGACTGGTTTCAGATCTTTTGTTCTTAGGGTCACTATGAGTTGTACTCAACTCGACGGCACTCAATAACAACAACAACAACAACAATTTGATTACAGAAGATAGAGTAGTGCATGATGTACTATAAGAATTTTGTCCTAAAATAATCTATAAACTTTAAACCATAAATTACTCTAAAATTTTCTTTAAGTCAATCAATGTTGTTGTTGTTAGGTGCCTTTGAATCAAGTACTATTCAAAGAGACCCTATGAACAGCCACCCTTAGACCCTGTCCTACCCTGCGTCATCCACATCATCTCTGACATAAAAGAGCTCATTGATGAAGTCACCATGTCAATCTATCTCACTGGAAGTCTTCCTCTCCTTCGCTGACCCATCTTTCCAAGCATGATGTCCCTTTCCAAGGAACAGTCTTATGTAGCTACATGTCCTAAGTATAAAAGACGGAACATCATAATCTTTGCCTCCATGGAGCACCCTGGCTGCACTTTTTCGAAGGCATTTATTTCTGTTTGTTCTTTTGGTCATCCATGAGACAGTCAGTACCCTTCTCTAGCACCACAACTCAAAGGCATCAATTCTTCTGTCATTCTTACTCATTGTCCAGCTCTCTGATGCATTGCAAGTGATCAGATGCATCTCAGACTTCAAACTAACATCATGGCTCTACTGTATTCAGAGAAGCCCCTGATAGCGGACTTTGCCAATGCAATACATCTCCTGATTTCCTGACTGCTGGTTCCAAGGATGTTGTTTGTTGATCCAAGGAAGCTGAGATCATTGATAGCTTCAGACCATTCTCCACCTATCATAATGTTAACTGCTTTCTTGATGTTGAGATGTAATCCATACTGAAGACTAGTCCTTGATCTTCTGCAGTTAAGTATTTCAGACCCTCCTCACTTTCAGTCAGTAAGGCTGTGTCATCTACAGAACATAAGTTGGTTATGAGTTTTCCTCCAATCCCGATGCCACACTCCTCATCCTAGAGTCTACGTTCTTCTTCATATGGAATTTCTATGTGTAGCTTTTTAAGGATACATCAAACTGCCTTTCAGAGTGGTTGTACAATTTTACAATCCCAAAAACAGTGTATGAGAGTTCTCACCTCTCCACATCTCTCCAACATTTATTTCTTGCTGTCCTGTTAAACTCTGCCACTGCTACTGGGGTGAGATGGTATCTCATTTTTTGGTTTTGATTTGCATCCCTCTTATTGCCAGTGATTTTGAGCATTTCTTCATGTGTCTATTGGCCACCTAAATGTCTTCTTTTTTTAAAACTCTTTCCATACCTTTTGCTCATTTTGGAACTGGATTATCAATCTTTTTCTTGTGGAGGCCCTGTAGTATTCTGTAAATTTTTGTTATGAGACCCTTATCTGAAATGTTATTGCCAATGTTTTTTCCTAGTCAGTAGGTTTTCTTTTTATCTCACTGAAAAAAGTTTTGATGCACACAGGGACTTAAGTCTTTAGAAGGTCCCCTTTATCAATGTTATCGTCTTCTGTTTGTATAGAGTACTGTACTGCTTTAAAACTATATATATGGGATCAAATTGACAGCAACAACTTTAAAGATTAGACAGAAACCTTGGGAGGCAGAGAGCTGATGTTAATAAAGAGGAAAAATCTCAAGAAAGCAAGTTGTAGGAAAGGTATTCCGTTATCTCAACCAGAGCTAAGGCTGACATTTTCTGTCCTAGTTTTCAGATTACTGAACAATCTCTGAGTTCACCCTTTGGAAGAAAGATAGAGAAAAAGGTGTCCCTCCAGATTGACACCTTCAAACCCTGTGACAAGGATCTTCCACCAAGGCACTTGCATTCAGCCAGCTGCCTTATCAAGGTGTTTAAGCCCAAAGGAGCTCTCAGGAAGCTAAATATTGACCAAGAGAAGGTTAGGAAGCAGACTCTATAGGATAAAGACAAGTTCCAGGTTGCCTGTGAAAATATGGTCTTCCCAGAGTGTTCACTGGTGCCAGAGCCCATTGTAGGGCCCCCCACACCTCTCATCCCTCTGGCTCTGACTTCCCCTCAGTCTCACAAACTTCTGTCACCTTCTTAACCACCACTCACTCTGGGCAGCTTTGGGGGTAGTCGAGGTGAAAGTCTCAATCCTGGAGCTTTTCCATCACAGAGACACAGCAGCGGTCGCAAGGACACCGGTTCCCCCACTACTGTCAGGTGCTCCCCAACTGGTACTGATCTGCTAAGACTTACCCACCAGGACCCTCCTAAGATCTGTGGGGCTGCTGATGGAATCTGCCTTTTCAATATTCTTAAAGCCAAGCCCATCTGTCACCACCTGACTTTAGATGTGGCTCAAGAGGTCTCTAGGCAAGAGAAAGGTGTCTAAGAACTCAGACTATGGATTTTATCAACACATTTTCTTTGGAAAAACTCAGTGCCATTGACCTGATGGGGAAACTGGCTGAACAGTTGGTCCTCCCAACCAATTAGATCCATCGCCTCTTTCACTAGGGCTGTGAGGGGAGTCTCATTCTCATCAATGACCATAATAAGGTCCAGAATTTTAAGGATGAACCATACTTTGTGGCTGGGGTGAAGAAAGTGCAGAATCCAGATGGCTACCTCTCGATTTTGACCTAAGTCTAGAAGAACATTTCTGCAAAACACTGATGCCTGACCTTCTAGGGTCAAGTTCACCAGTAGCTTTGTGAATATCCTTTACAGACGGACCAGTACCTCATGGGTTCATTTCTCTTCCTCCTCAGTAGCTATAGCTGTTGTAATCTTGAGCACAGCTTCTAGTGCCCAGACAACTGAGCTGGTCACATTTGTTGTTACTGTTGTTGTTATGTGCCATCTAGTCGCTTGCAATTCATAGCACCCTATGTACAATAGCCCTGAAACCTGCTCTATCCTGTGCCAATCTTATTATCTCTAACACACTTATCCTCATTACCCCTGTCACTGAATCAATCCAGCTCATTAAGGGTCTTCCTCTCCTGTGCTGTCCCTCCACCCTTCCAAGCATGGTGTCCCTTTCCATGGACCGGTACCTCCTTGCATCATGTCCAAAGTATGTCAGAAAAAGCCTCAGAATCCTCCAAGAAAAAGCCTCCAAGGAGCAGTCCAGCTTCACCTTCTCCAGGACGAACCTGTTTGTTTTCCTGGCAGTTCTTGGCATATTCAATATTCTCTCTAGTACCACAGCTCAAAGGCATCAATTCTCTTTCTATGATCCCTATGCTATTGTCCAGCCTTCTGATGCATAGCAAGCAATTGTGAAAACTCTGGCCTGGATCAGGCGCACCTTAGTCTCCATACTGATGTCACTGATCTTCAGTACTCTGGAGTGGTCTCTAACAGCAGACTTTCCCAATGCAATTAGTCTTTTGATTTCCTGGCTGCTGGTACCAAGAGTGTTGATTAGTCAGCCAAGCAAACTAAAGCCATTAGCAATCTCAATCTCTTCACCATCTATCATGATGCTGCCAGTAGGCACAGTGGTAAGAATCTTTGTTTTCTTAATGTTGACCTTCAATCCATATTGGAGGCTACAGTCCTTGACCTTCTGCAGTGAGCTCTTCAGGTCCGCCTCAGTTTCAGCAAGCAGGGTTGTGCCATCTGCATAAAGCAAGTTGTTGATGAGTCCTCCTCCAATCCTGATGCCACATTTCTCCTCATAGATCCCAGCCTCCCAGATGAGATGTTCTGCATATAGATTGAAAAGGAATGGAAAAAGGACACTGGCGTACACTCTTCCTGATTTTGAACCATGCAGTATTTCTTTGCTCTGTTCTGACAACTCCCTTCTGGACCTTCTGGTCCAAGGATAGGTTTCACATAAGCACAATCAAGTGTTCTGGGATTCCCATTCTTCTCAGGGTCAACCAACATTTGTGAAGCCAATAACCAAAACCAAAGCCAAAACCTTGACAATACAGAACTTTTGTCACAAGCTATACTGGCTACTGGATAGTATGATTTTGATTTATGTTTATTTAAAACTTTATTCAGTCTCCCTTTTCAAGTCAAAGTTCATTCTTAAAAAGGAAAAATTAAAAGACTATTAAATAAAAAAGAAAGGAAGTTGTGAATAATTGTACAACTTTAAGAATGTAATCCATGTCAGTGAATTGTACATGTAGAAAGTGCTTAATGAGTGTAGTTCTAATGTATATATTCTCGATCACAATGACAAAAAATAAGTTAAAAGTACTCAGCCATTACAATATATCAGTTGACTGAAAATAGCTCAAACCAGTCGTTTCTACAAACCAGCTTACTTGAACTCACTTGCCCATTTAACCAAAGAAGGCCTGGTAGTATAGTGGTTAAAATGCTCAGCTACTAACCAGAAAGTCAGAGATTCAAATCTCCCAGCTTCTCTGAGGAGGCAGGAAGTGGTAGTCTGCTTCCACAGAGATTCACAGCCTTGGAAGCCCTACAGGTCAGTCCCACTCATAGGGCCACTATGAATTAGCATCAACCGATTACAGGATGTTTTCCTGTTTTGTTTCCTCCATTAATTCAAAGCAGGAATTATTGTCCCACCACAGAGACGGACCTGGTATGGACAAACAACACACAGCCCTTTGGGGTTTACTTTTGAATCAGGGAGGAGGCATTGTGGAATGAAAAGAAGTTTATTGGAGTTGACATTCACGCTAAAAAACTAAACTCCACTTTTCTCTTTGAATCCCCATTAGTTTCTCTAATCCCTTCTCTAGCTTTATCCCATGCTTCGAGTCATTGCTTCGATTAAAGGACAGCTTCGATCAGACTCTTCCAATGAAAGTCCAAGTCCCCTGGTACTGAGGATTTTCCACTCCCACCAAGAGCTTGCTTTCTTCTGTTAGTTTTCCGAGGAGCCCTGGTTTTGTAATGGTTAAATGCTTGGCTGCTAACGCGAAGCTTGGCAGTTCCAACCCACCAACAGCTCCAAGGGAGACAGACTTGGAAACTTGTTCCTGCACGATTACAGCCAAGAACACCCATGGCGACATTCTACTCTTTTGAGAGGGTTGCTAGGAGTTGGACTCGACTTGCTAGTACTCAGCCACAACAACCTTAGTCTAGAAATTTCTACTCTGCTCCAACTAATTTGTCTGTCCACTTCCGGGGATGGACTGCAAAGCCCCCTCCCTACCTTGTCATCTAACGAAAAGCGCACCGGTAGGAAGCCTCTCTGAAACCCTCTCTGAGCACCCCAGCTTAAAGCGCTGCCTCCCTTCTCAGAATCAACATGAATCATTTGGCAATTACGCTTTCCTCATGACAGTTCTTCACCTGCTTAATGCTATTTCCATAAATTGTCTGTAAGCTCCTGGCGCCCGGCGCCTTGCATACAGCAGGTGCAAAATAAGATCCGAGAATGTGCTGGGATGATTTGACATCTGTCAAAGGGGCACACTGTGTCAACCTGTTCCTTAGGGGAAAAGTCATGCAAGACACAACCCCACCATGACCTCAGGGAGACAAGAAGCTTAAAATGCAGACCAGAAGGATATTATCTAATATTTTTTTAAGAACACACACACACACACAGAAAGAGTTAACATTTTAGAGTTGCCTCTCAGGAAGGCAACGCGGACTGACCTGATTTCTTTTGTCTTTCTGGAAAAGGAAATGTGATCAACTGAAAACACCAGGGGAAGACCGTGTATGATCCAATACACAAGATAAACAAAAACGTCTCTTCCAGTTTCGTTACAGGAAAATCACAAATCAATAAGAAAAGGTGGTGTAAAAGGAGAAATAACCAGGGAAGAATGGGAGACTGGCATTGTGTGGATCAAGGAACGGAGTCGCCCTCAATTATTAACAGCAGCTTTGCCATAATCCATAAAAGCTGTGTTAGGAAAGTCTGACATAGTTACACGTAGGGTTTACAGCACAGAATACAGAAAACCTCTCCGTCCCATCACAATTGTCACTGATTTTTGTTGGCTATTGTTCTGTCTGTTTAATCCAAATAAGTGTCATTCTCCCAACTGCCAAAAGCAGTCAAACCGCTCCTTGGCTGAACTAACCAATCAATTCCCTGATTGGGAAAGAAAAGTTGCAGATCTGATAGCACCACATAAGCTTGGCCACTGCTGCTTGAATATTTAATCTCCACAAAGCCCTTCTCCTAAGGGGAAAGGACTGGGCTGCTGTGGCCATCTAGCTGCCTGTATTATTTACTCAGTCATAAGGTAGTCAAAAGCAACACTTTCAAAGTTAATTAAATGGCACAGGAGTCCGGGAATCTATACTTCCGGCTCCAAGATTCTGATTTAGCAAGTGCAGTGATGTCGAGAGTCTCATACAGCACGCATTTGCTTTTGCAGATCTGGAGTTTGCTTCTTAACTTTCCAACAATGCTCTTGTGGTGGTTGTGAGCTGTCCTTCTATCAAGCTGTTCCAACTCAGACTGACCTCACACATTGGAACCAAATGCTGTCCATCCCTCTGCCATCCCCACAATCCGCTATATGGACTGGACAGTTGGGATCCAGAAGGATTTTTAGAAGTGGAAGGCCAGGCCTTTCTTCCTACTCCCTCTTAGCCAGAAAGCTCTGCTGGAACATTCTCTGTGTCTTAGCGACACACACTTCCGATGGCAGGCAGGCAGTGGCTTCACTGGGTGGCCACTGCTCTTGAATCCTCCACATGTTGTTGTGGACAGTCAAGTTGGAACCAGCCCGTAGCTGACCCTCCAGCAGGTTTTCAGAGGCAGTAAATGACATGGGAGGAGACTGTTCATCTTTCTCCCATGGAGCAGCTGGTGGCTTTGTGCTGGCAGCACAATTTCTGACCATTAAAGTTCCCTGAATTTGACCTCTGAGCCATTACTGTCTTAACTTTCCAACAGTGCTTAACTGTCAGTGACCACGCTGATAAGACATTTAACAACAGGTACCTGGCCTCCATGGAAAGAAATATCCAGCCGAAACCACTCCTTCAAAGGGATCATGAATTTTGTTTTCACAGCAAGGTCTTCTCCTTTGATAAGATGCATTTGAATATGCAAGTTGCCTGAAAGGAAAATCAAAGCTCATGAAAGAGACCAATAAATGTAACACAACAAATCCTTAGATGGGAAGAAAGAATGGAAACATCTCAATTAATTTTTCTAGGAAGCTTTAAGGCTAACCCATGTTCTTTCCTCTAAGTAAAACAGCACATCCCTACATGCATCCCTCTGTAAATAAGACACTGGTTCAAGTTTAAGTTGAAGCCTGGATTTGAAAGCCGTCACTCTCACTGAACTGTCACACATCGACAAATCTCTTCCTTTATACTAGGGAGACCTACCCACTGCTAGACAGAGAGTAAGAAAATGATAACAGCATTTTGAAGGTTGTTTTCCACTTACCCTCTTCAGTCAGAAACACAGACGGTGTGCCGTACATCTCGTGAGAATCTACAAAATACAGAATCCCACAGAGATTCGCCTTGCAATAATGCAGCAAGTAAAGCCAGAGTGAAACGGTAAACCTGGAAAAAGTGAAGGGGGAGAAATGCGTAGATTGATATAATCTAAGAACAGGTAATTATAGTTAACAACGACTCAGTGGATTGCTTTCTTCCCAAGAAAGGGATGGATTCGCCTTCGTGCTCGTCAAGGGAGAGGAGATTGCAAAACCATGATTTTTGAGACAAAGGAGGTTAAAGGAACTACAACAGACAAGAGTTAAGCATCATTGTGCAAACGCTCTGCCTTACACCAAGAGCTCCGCTTCCGTGGGTCTGTAAGGATCCCACGTGCCTGCCAGCCACATTCTTGATTAAGGTTTATAAAGCCAGACATAGAATAAAAATTCGGATTTTAATAAGAGGTGATTTGATAAGAAGCTTTTCTAATTTTGGTGATTAGAAGAGGGGGGGAACGCCACATAATAAGGGCTTTTTGAGACATTTTGTTTCTTTGCATGATAAAAGCCCTCAGGTAGGAAAATGTAATCATCTGCGGAGTGGCATCACCATACGATAATTGAGACACATATGCATTATTTTAATGCACACATTAAGTTGTGCGGGACCACATTGCCGCCTGACTGATACGGAACAAATGATCTAATTATTCCTTTCCTGGACTGGGGCTATTTTGGGTGATAAAATATTGTGTATGTTGTGATTCTGGGAGTGAGGATAACTTAAGTAGGACGCTTTGAGTGAGGCGATCTGGTCAGGCCATCATTCAGCAGGTATTTGCTGAACAGTGCAGAGAACAAGCAACTCAAAGATGTGGTGGGGGTTGTTACTGGATGCAACTGGGATGATTCCAGCTCCCAGTGTCCCCCTGTGTTACAGAAAAGAACTGAGCTCCGCTGTGTTTGCTTTGCTGTCATTGTAACAAAAGCAGATTTCCAGGCCTTTTCTCCCACAGTACTGCTGGGTGGATCTGAACCATCAACCTTCAGGTTGGCTATTGTGTGCTGTCAATTCTGACTCACAGCGACCCCCTATGACAAGGTATAACTAGCTCAGACCCTCCCCAAGGCTGTCAGCTTTACAGGAGCTCATCACCAGCTCTTATCTTTCACAGAGAGGCCGGTGGGTTCAAAACCATCAAGCGTTTGGTTAGCAGCCAATGTTTAATCACTGTGCCACCAGGGCTACAGCCATTTTTGCCTCCTTCAAAGACGAGGAGTTGGAAGTAACTATCTTTTGCACATGCAACATGAACCAAGGTCAAAATCAATGCATCCGGTTCTATTCATTTGTTCCTGTAACTGGCTCACAGCTTCAGTGAATGCACAGGGACCAGCAGCTCTTCATTCTTCGGGGATCCATCGGAACAAATCCTTCACAATAATCTGGGCTTCTTAATCTGCCCTCCAAATCAGCAGTCAGATATGCAAACAGATGGTGGCACACAGCTAGCTCCCTCCTGACCTACCCAGCTGAGCAAGCTCAGGAAGATAAGTTATTACAAGGAAGCTTAGCAAGAGCAGACGCCCGGGAAAGTGACTCGAGATCTTTCCACAGCCAGCAGCCTGGGAAGAATTAAATCACTCTGCTAAATCCAGCCTGTCTGAGGTGAACCGGGGACCGTTTCCAGCATCTTCAATTCAGTAGGAGGGAAAATCGTGCTGAAATCAATGGAGGGGATAAAAAGTTGTCAGATCTCAAGCAGCTAATGCAATCCCAGGGGGCTCTGGTAATGTAGTCTATAGAGCTGCAAAGCTAACCCAAAGACTCCCGGTCAGTTCGAATCCCCCAGTGGCTCGGTGGGAGAAAGGTGGGAAATCCTCTCTAGTGTGATGCAAATCCAATGCAGACTCAGTTATGAGTCAGTTCCAATTAGCCAGCAATGAGAGATACAACCTTTGGGGACCTTAAGCTACAAGTAAATTCAAAGGTTTGAGTTCACCCAAAGGCAGCATGGAAGAAAGGCCTGATGATCTATGTCCCCAAAAAACCAATCACTGAAAACTCCATGGAGCACAATTCTATTCTGAAGCACAGGATGGCCGTGAGTTGGAAGTGACTAGACAGTAACTGTTCTCCTGTTTCTTCTTGGCTTAGCCCAATCTTCCAAGACAGAAAGAGCAAACAAAGCAAAAACTGCAGTGAGTGTAGCCCCTGGCTGAGCTGATCTGAGCTGAGTGTTTACAAGACCCAAACACCTTGTCCCCCTACTCAGGAATGATAAAGTCTAAGGTTAAGTGAGATTTGCCAAACACAAGAGTAACTCAAAAAGAGTGTAAAGTTTTCAGGTCAGCATTTCTAAGCTATTGGGGAGGTCAAGCTCAATGCTCTGATGACCAAGGTGTGTGAGTTCAAGACTCCCACGAGCCTGGGTCTGGCCCTTGTGAACCAAGAGTGACACCCAGACAGCACCCCACAATTCTTACAGGGGATAATCTACGCGCTGGCGGCGGGTGGCTTCCAGTTCCCGGTTCTGAAACCTCGGGAACTTCTTCACGACACCTGTGTTTTCCCCACTGGAGGCGTAGAAGAAGCCAAGGAGGGAGACAACATCTGAAAGAGAGAAACAGCCATCTTAACAGAAAAGCAATACTTCCCAGATGATGCTCTCCACGGGCGCCGCTGCCCAGATCCACACAAACGCGGGCATGAAACAGTCCCCTTTATGTGCTATATATTGCTATATCATAGCTATGTTGCCATATGATAGCGAATGTTGATGGGACACGAACACTGCACAGGGACGACAGCAGTTCATTTTCATAACAATCTGCAAAGTCGATTTTATCTTAACTCCTACAGGTAAAAAGCCTGAGGCTCAGAAAGATACAGAGGCAGAGATAACTTTCAGCATTTGAATTGAGGCATCTCTGTCTCTTTCACATACAAGAAGCTGCACTGCAATCCTAAAGACACATGTTCCAGGCCACCAACTGCTCCCTAGAATAAGGATGGGCTATTACTTGCCTCTGAAAACCCACCAGGGGGTCAGCTATGGGGTGGTTCTGACTCAACGGTACACAACTCAACAACTCCTAACGCTAAGGAACATACTGTGAGTGTGTATAATACTAGCAGTTAATACTGGTGCAAATGGTTTATGCTGGACTCTGAAAACTGACTGGAGGATCAGCTATGAGAAAATTCTCATTTGATGGCACCTAAGAGCAACGATGTCAGTCTGGAGACTAAGGTGCACCTAATCTAGGTCAAAGTCTTTGGAATTACTTGCTGTGAGTCAGAAAGCTGGACCATAACTAAGGATGATAGAATTGATGCCTTTGAGCTGTGGTGCTGGAGAAGAGTACTTAATATACCACGGACTGCTAGGAGAACAAACAGGTTTGTCCTGGAGAGGGTGAGACCAGCCTGTTCCTTGGAGGCAAGGATTCTGAAGCTCCATCTGACATACTTTGGGCATGTTGCAAGGAGGGACCAGTCCTTGGAGAGGGATGTCATGCTTGGGAGGGTGGTGTGACGGCATGGGAGAGGAAGACCCTGAATGAGATGGATTGATTCAGTGACTGGGATTATGGGGCTAAGTGTGTCAGAAACAAAAAGATTGGCACAGGATAGAGTGTGGTTTAGGGCTGTTTTAATTAGGGTTGCTATGAGTCACAAGCAACTCGACCACACATAACAATAACTACAATACTAGCAACAGTATAAGGTTTGTGCTTCAAATCTATAAGAGCACTATGAAAGAGAGGCCTGGTGATCTGTTTCTATAAAGATTGTAAAGCAAAGCCACCACTGCTGAGCGGATTCCCATTCACAGAGACCCTGCAGGTCAGAGTCAACCTTTCCAGAGGCAGATTGCCTCATCATTCCTCCATAGAGTGGCAGGTGGGTTTGAACTGCAGACCTTCTGGTTAGCAGTCAAATGCTTTAACCACAGTGTCAAGAACTCCTACACAGAGCTTGAACTCAAGAAAACCTTCAGGAGTTTTTCTCCGTAACACATCACTCAGAATGGACTCCATGACAAGAAGCTTGGTTTTGTTTGATGTAACTGTCACAATGAGATAGGCAGGTACCTTGATGACACGGTGGGTAAAGCACGGGGCTCCTAACTGAAACATCAACAGTTCAAACTCGCCAGCCATTATAATGATGAAAGACGTGACAGTCAGCTTCTGGAAAGATTATCAGCCTTAACCATCCCAGAGAGAAGTTCTACTGTGTCCACTAGGAATGGAAAATAACTCAACAGCAGAAGAGGTGAGTTTATAGGGCAGATACTGCTATAAGCATTTGGCCTATGTGGTAGTGTTTTTAGGTGCCTTCGAGTTGCCTGTGACTCACAGCAAACCAAAATACAACACCACTGAATCTTGATCTATCTCACTCACTAGGACACCCAACCCTCACTGCCCCATTTACTATATCAACCCGTCTCATCTGGGGTCTTCCTCCCCTGTACTGTCTCTCCACCCATTCAAGCATGATGTCCTTCTCCAAGGACTGGTCCCTCCTGGCCACATGCCCAAAGTATGTGAGATGGAGCTTCAAAATCCTAGCTTCCAAGGAGAAACTTGGTTTCAACCTCTCTAAGACTTGTTTGTTCTCTAGAGAGTCCATAGTATATTCAATATTCTTCTCTAGCACCACAACTCAAAGACATCGATTCTTCTTCTGTCATCCTTAGTCATTCATTGTTAAGCTCTCTGATGCAGGCCTGGATCAGGTGCACCTTAATCTCTAGACTTACATCATTGCTCTTTAGCAGTTTGAAGAGGTCTCTGACAGCAGACTTCTCCAATGCCATTCCTTTTTAGATTTCCTGACTTCTGATTTCAAGAGTGTTGATCGTGGAGCCAACGAAGCTGAAATTGTTAACAACCTCAATCTCTTCTCCATCCATCATGGTGGTGCCAGCTGGCTCAGTGGTGAGACTCTTTGTCTTCTTGCCATTGAGCTTCAGTCCATATTGAAAACTACAGATCTTGACTTTTCTCACCAAATGCTTCAGGCCCTCCTCAGATCCTCTTCAATTTCACCAAAGTTGTGTTATCCACAGAACACAGGTTATTGATGAGTTTTTTTTCCAATCCTGATGCCACATTCCTCCTCATAAACGCCAGCTTTCCAAATGATCTGATCCTCATGTTGTTGTTATTGTTATGTTCCACCAAGTCACTTGCGACTCATAGTGACCCTATGTACAAGAGCCCTAAACACCATTCTATCCTGTGCCAACCTCACTGTCTCCGATACATTCATTCCCACCACCCGAATACAGAATCGATCCATCTCATCGAGGGTCTTCCTCTTCTTTGCCGTCCCTCCACTCTCCCAAACATGATGTCCCTCTCCAAGGACCAGTCCCTCCTTGCAACATGCCCGAAGTATGTCAGACAGAACTTCAGAATCCTTGCCTCCAAGGAGCACTTGGACTTCACCCTCTCCAGGACAAACCTGTTCTCCAAGCAGTCCATGGTATATTCAACACTCTTCTCCAGCACCACAACTCAAAGGCATCAATTCTCTTTCTATCATCTCTAGTCACTGTCCAACTCTCCGATGCATAGCACAGAATTTCAAAGATTATAGCCCGGATCAGGTGCACCTTAGTTTCCAGCCTCATGTCGCTGATCATACAGATTGAAAAGACATGGAGACAGGATGCATCCCTGACACACTTCTTTGCTGATTTTGAATCATGCAGTGTTTCCTTGTGCGGTTCTGAGGATTGCTTCCTGTACCAAATATAGGTTTCATCTGAACATAATCAAGTGTTCTGGGATTCTCATTCTTCTCAAGGTCAACCACAATTTGTTGTGATCCACACAGTCAAATGCCTTTGCATAGTCAATGAAACACAGACATTCCTCTGGTATTCTGCCAAGATCGATCTGACATTGGCAATAGTGTCTCTAGTGCCAAGGCCTCTTCTAAACCTGGCTTGTATTTCTGGCAGTTCTCTGTGGATGTACTATTCCAGTCGTTTTTGAATGAATCTGCAACAGGATTTCGCTTGCATGTGATATTAGTGATACTGTTTGATAATTTCCTTACTCTTTATTTTGGAATGAGAATAAATATGGAAATCTTCCAGTCAGTTGTCAGTTTATATGAATCAATTTAATCTTCATAACTATCTCCATGTTATAGATGAAGAGAGGAAGCTCTGGTAGTCTAGTGGGTAAGGAGTTGTGCTGTCAATGAAAAGGCACGCAGTTCGAATCCACCAGCTGCTCCACTGCTCTCTCCATGCAATGTATGGTCTCTGAATGCCCACTTGAGGGGTGAGCTACAAGTCGATTCCAATGGCACATCACAACAACTTAGATGAGGAAGGAAGGCACCACTGTAAAATAACAACTAACATTTATTGAATGCTTAAGGAGCCCTGGTGGTGCAGTGGTTAAGTGTTCAGCTATTCATGGAAATATCTACAGTTCAAACCCACCAGAATGATGGGGCAGTCTGCTTCCCTAAAGAGAACTGCCTGGGAACCCTATGTGGTAGGTCTACCATAGGGCCATTATGTGTTAGGACTGATTCAATGGTGATGGCTTTAGTTTGGGCCTTTTTTTCTTCCTTGTTTGTTTTATATGCCAAGCCATCCATACAAGCACATTTCACAGAATTTCACGACACCCGATGAAGTGAGTTTTATTACCGTCCTCGTTGAGCAAATGAAAACACTGAGTCTTAGAGAGCTGTTGTTGTTGTTGTTAGGTGCCATCAAGTTGCCTACAACTCATCTCAGCTCTATAAACAACGTATCTAAATCTTGCGTGATTTTGTGCCATCTTCACAATCTCTGATATGGATGAGGGATACAGCACTGTAGCTAAATAATGAATAAGTTTGCATTGAAATTATAAATAAACAAGAGTTAGGGCTCAGATGCAAACACCAGCAATTTCATGTAAGAATCTCTGCTCTTGAGATGACATCGTTATTTTTCTTCTGAGCAGATATTATCCATTTCCTCAATACCAAAATTTCTGATCACAGCTCCACCTTCTTTTGCAGATGGGGGAAAATGCCTTTTGGTAGCTCTGTTGTTGTTAGGGTGTCCAGGTGGCCTAGTGGTAAGGAGCTGCACTACCAACCTGAAGGCACATGGTTCGAGTCCACCAGTTGCTCAGCAGAAGGATGGACAGTCTCCTCCTGTGCCATTTACTGCCTCTGAAAACCCACCTGATGGTCAGCTGTGGATCAGTTCTGACTCGATGAGACACAACAACAACAAATAGTTGTTGTTAGATACTGTCCGGCTGACTACAACTACAGATGAAAACCTTGACCTCTCTTGCACCACCTGTCGCTCCAGAAAACATAACTTTTGCTAGCTGGTATCAGGTCAACCCTCAACTCATGAAAAACTCATAAAATCATTTCAGGGTTCACTTTCAAATATAAATCATGAGGTCTCTCTTTCTTTTCACATGATACCAGCACATAAGGCTCTCCTGACAAATAGTGGGGGGATGCTTGTGGGATACACTGGCCAGGGTCAAATCTGGGTCCTTAATTTGGAAGTCAAGAATTCTTCCACTGAGGGGAGCTCTAGTGGCCTAGAGGCAAGAAGCTGTCCTGCA